GTGTGGGTGCGTGTGTGTGTGTGCGTGCACGTGTGTGCGTGTGTGTGTGTGTGCGTGTGTCTGCGTGTGTGTGTGTGTGTCCGTGTGTGTATGCGTGCGTGTGTGTGCGTGAGTGTGTGTGTGGGCATGTGTGTGCGTGTGTGTTTGTGCATGTGTGTGGGCGTGTGTGTGTGTGTATGCGTGTGTATGTGTGTGCGTGTGTATGCGCGTGTGTGTACGTGTGTGTGCGTGTGTGTGCGTGTGTGTGTGCATGAGTGTGTGTGTGTGTGCGTGTGTGCGTGTATGTGTGCGTGTGTTTTGGTGCTTTGGTGCCTCGGCAGCCTGGGGCGTCTACACCTCGCCAGGCCCGTGCGCTGGGCTCTCGAGCGAAGGTCATCGCCTGCCGAGCCTGTGCGGAGCCGAGCCGCGGGCAGCGCCCCCGCCGAACTCCCCAGGGTGCAGAGCGAAAGGGCCCCCTCGAGGCCGCGCCCCACCCTAGGCCCCTCAGCCTGGTGCCAAGGGGGGCTGAAAAGCGAGAACACGCGCCGTGCCCAGGCCCCGCCAACGGCGAATGCGGGCCCAGGCACCCCGATGGACCGCCCCCTCAGGCCCCTCAGCCACGGCGGACACCGCGCCAAGGGGGGCATTGTCTCTACCGCTGGGGCCCCCTCAGAGGCGGAACCCGCACCCCGACGACGGGCAGAGGCGCAACGGCCCTCCCAGCCATCCGCGAGGCCATCCACGCAGCTGGCACTCTTGCTGCTGACCCCATCCACGGCCTCAGCCCTCAGCGAGACCGTCACCGCCGCTGGGACGCCCGCTGCAGGACCTCGCACTGCCGCTGGAAGGTGGCCATCTTGTTGTCGAAGGCGGCCTCGGCCAGACGGAGCCGATCCACGGCGGCCCGAAAGCGCACCTTGGCCTCGTCGACGGCGCCCGCCACCCCATTGCGCAGAGCCACGGATAGCTCCTGCGCTCGGAGGGCACGCAACTTGGCCAGGTCCTCCACGAGGCTGGCCTGGGACCGCCGCTGGGCCTCCATCGACTCCTCCATCTTGGCGAGGATCGAGGGGAGAACGAAGTCGTCGTCGTTCGTCGCCTCCTCGCTCTCCTGACCCTGCAGCTCGGCACCGACGATACTCTCCAAGGGGCCTCCGACGGCCTCCTCGCCCACCGCCGCGCTGAGCTGCGGGAAGGGCGGGACCTCGCCCAGCACCGTGTCCTCCTCGAAGGGGCCCTGGTGCTCCTGCTCGCTCGCGTCCACGCGCGCCTCGGAGCTGTCCACGACCTGGTCGGTGCCCTTGCACACGTCCACGTCCAGCTCCGCGCCGTCGCCGACGGACCCCTCCAGCATGGTGTCGTCGGCGTGGTCGTCGAAGGGGTTCCCGCCCACCTCCGTGGCCACCGCCGCGCTCGGCACCATGGGCGGAGAGGGCGGGGTCGAGCCGCCGCCGCCCGCCTCGGCCAGGTCCGGTTGCGCCGGCACGCGGGGCCCGCAGCGTCCGCCACGCTGGGCGCGCTGCGGCCGCACCAGGGCCTCCCGCAGGGCCTCCACGCCCTTGCCGAGGACCACGTGCGCCCCGACGTTGCGCCTGGCGCGGGCTGCGCCGCACGCCTGCACGCCCCGCAGCTGCTGGCGCATGGCGGGCTCCATGGCCTGCCAGCGCATAGCGAGCTCGGCGTCCTCCTCGGAGCCGCCGTCCGCCAGGAGCGCCCAGGCGGTGCGCAGCGCTGCGGCCACGGCAGCCGCGATCGCCTGCCGCGAGGCGCCGCCCGCCGCCGCTCCCTGAGCAGCGCCTTGGACGGCCATCGCGATGACCAGTCCAGCGCCGTCCGACCGTAGATCCATCCCCTTGGTGCCGCCGCCCGACGCCGCCATGGCAGGGGCCGCGACACGGGGAGCAGGACAGAGCCGCTCTCTCCTACGAGAAGGAGAGGCACGGCGCGTTCCTGCCCACCCTGGCACCAGGGCAGGCTTGAGCCAAAATGGCTACGGATATGTATGTGTGCGTGTGTGTGCGTGTGTGCGCGTGTGTGTGCGTGTGTGTGTGCGTGTGTGTGCGTGTGTGTGTGTGTGTGCGTGCTCGTGTGTGCGTGTGTGTCTGTGTGCGTGTGCGAGTGTGTGTGCGTGTTTGCGTGTGTGCGTGTGTGTGTGTGTGTGCGTGTGTGTGTGCGTGTGTATGTATGAGTGTGTGTGTTCGTGTGTGTGCGTGCGTGTCTTTGTGTATGTGAGTGTGTTTGTGCGTGTGTGTGTGTATGTGCGTGTGTGTGCGTGTGTGTGTGTGTGTGCGTTGGTGTGTGTATGTGTGCGTGTGTGTGTGTGTGTGTATGTGTGTGCGTGTGCGTGTGTGTGTGTGTGCGTGTGTGTGTATGTGTGCGTTTGTGTGTGTGTGCGTTTGTGTGTGTGTGTGTGCGTGTGTGTGTGTGCGTGTGTGTGCGTGTGTGTGCGTGCGTGCGTGCGTGAGTGCGTGTGTGTGCGTGCGTGTGTGTGTGTGTGTGTGCGTGTGTGTGTGTGTGCGTGTGTGTGTGTGCGTGGTGCGTGTGTGTGCTGTTTCTGTTCCCCCCCGCGCTCGCTCTTTCAGGGCGCATCCGCCACCGCCCGGTGCCAGGGAGGCCTGCCGCCCTCGCGCGCCAGCTGCAGGAGCTCGGCCGGCGACGGGGACCCCGGCGGCAGCGGGAGGGCCGTCGGCTGGCTGAGCAGGCCCACCATGGGCCCGCAGGGCTTGCCCAGCAGGTCCAGCCGCCGCACCTCCTTCCGGGCGGCCAGGAGCGCGCGGCGAATGGCCGCGTTCTCGTGCGCGGGCTTCGGCGTCGAGTACAGGTCCTCGTCGTCCTGTGGACGCTGTCCCCCGGGGCCGTAGGCGGCCCGAGTTGGGGAGGGCGAGGAGGGGGGGGAGGAGGAGGAGGAGGAGGAGGAGGAGGAGGAGGAGGAGGAGGAGGAGGAGGAGGAGGAGGAGGAGGAGGAGGGAGGAGGAGGTTGAGGAGGAGGTTGAGGAGGAGGAGGAGGAGGAGGAGGAGGAGGAGGTTGAGGAGGAGGAGGAGGAGGTTGAGGAGGAGGAGGAGGAGAGAGGAGGAGGACGGGTAAGCCCTTCGGAGAAACCCTCCATCGTCCTGGAGGTAGAACAGGTCCATCAGGGAGACCTTGCCCCCGCCGCAGAGCGGGTCCCCCGCGTCTCGGCACCGCGGCGGGGCGCCCGCACCCTCCTGGAAGTGCCCGTGCTCCCGCGACCAGGCGCCGCTGGGGTCGAGTCCGGAGCCAGTGTCGGACTCGCCGTTGAGGAAGTGGTAGATTGCGATCTGGTCGAGATCTCCTTCGGCGACTCCACAGGGTGTGGTTTGCAATGGGTGTGGTTTGCAACCGGCACCCTGGGGAACATCCTGGGGGCACCCTGGGGGGCGCGCGGGGACCTCCATAGAATTCTCCCGCGCCCCGAGGCGGCCCGACGAGGACAGCGTCGTGCCCCCCAGGCCCCAACGGTGCCGATCGCAAACCACACCCCGGCGTAACCCTACCATTTGTAGTCGCCGACTCCTGTCCAGCCGTTGCCCTCGAACACATCCGGTGTCACGAACTGGCTGATGGGATCCAGCGTGTCCCACGGCGGTATGGGGGGGAGATCGAAGTCCTGGAGTTGAACAGACTCGGTGTAATTGAGGAACGCGCTGAATGTCTTCTGGTCGTGCTCATAAGGGTGGTGGTACATCCATAGAACGACCGAGAGTAGCCACGTGCGAACCATGTCTGACGACCTGAAGAACACGACGCCGTTGCAGATACAGTCCGACTCGAACGACCCCGAGACGAGAATGTCATAGCTCCCCCTGCGCGCGTGCTCCAGGATGATTGGAGTGGGATCCTTCATGAGGAAGGTGTCGAAATCGATCCACACCGAGTCGAGGCCGAGGTGCGCCAGGACCAGAGGCATCGTGAACTTGTTCACGATGGACGGCGTGCCGCGGAGACAGCGCTGCCCGTTCTCCCGCAGGCACTCGCGGTGGGCCTCTGGCCATCGCTCGGACGTCCGTTCCCTGTGCTGTTTTCGGCACCGTGCGCGGCTTCTCGCCAAAGGATCAAGGATGCTCCCCGATGGTCCTCGCCGAAAGAAACATGCACACGCCCGAGCGATGCCAAGGCCTCGCCGTCCAGGGCGAACAGGAGCAGGCGCTCCCCCGGCGCCCCGAGCGCGCGGGCCCGCGCGCAGAAGCGCCCGATGTGCCTGCTGAAGCGCGGGCCGTAGACCTGACGACCTACCAAGCCACCCCAACCCAACCCGAAGACCCGAATTTGAACCGAATCTCGGGCTGGGGGGGGTGGTATGGGTTCCATGGGTTTTTTCAATGTTCCCCGACCCCCCCCCCCACGGGAAATGGAGGGCAAATTGAGGCCTTCGGGTTGGGTTGGGGTGGTTTGGTAGGTGGTGAAGACCATCGAGATGTACACGAGCGAAGGCGCCTCGGGGTGCCCCGGCCCCAGGTGCGGCAGGGCGCCCAGCGCGTCCCGGAAGGCCCGCGACCGCCCCCCTGCGCCGCCAGAGTCCACGACCGGCTGGCCGCTGCTGCTGGGCCGTGCTTCCCAGGGTTACCAGCCTCGAGCGTATCCCTATCCCTAAGATTGACACGCCAAAAGGCGAGGACGCTCTTAGGGATTCGCCCTCAAAACATAAGGGAACCCCTAAGATTGGCATCGTGATGAGGAGGTGCCCAGCATAGGGATAGGGATATGTTCCAGGCTGGCAACAGGGGATCGGGGAGCGGCGGACCTGGATCACCGCCCGCCCACGCGGGCGGCCAGACATCCATGCCCGCCGCTCCTCGAGCTCCCTGGGCGCCCGACTTGCCCGGGGTATAGCTCGGGCCCGGGGCCACTCGGGCCTGGACTCCCGAACAAACGCGAGCCCGAGCTGGCCCCGACCCGAGCCATGCCCTTGCTGATATTCGGGGCGCTGAGATCCCACGGCACGACTCCGCAGCGGCGGGTGCGGGCATATACTCTGGCGGCGGACCCCCAGAGGAGAGCAGGGCCGCCCAGCGGCCCAGAGCCCCCAGGTGGGCCGGGAACCGCGCCTCGGCCGAGCTCGCGCGGCGGGCCGCGCCGCTCAGCGCGGGGGCCGGCAGCCCCGAGGGCGGCAGCAGCGCCAGCGTCCTCCAGCCGCCCACCAGCTCCTCCTCGGAGAAGTCTAGCTGGTACCGGTGCCGCGTCGAGTGGGACATGTGGTTCAGGACGAGCGAGATGGGCCAGCGGCTGTGCGCCAGCACGTCGACGAAGTCCGGGGACGCCGCGATCCACGCCTCGACCTTCTGGATGAAGGCGCGGAAGCAGGAGCTCTCCGACGTGGCGCACGTAAAGGCCTGGATGGTGTTCAGGGTCAGCACGCCGAGAGGGCACTCCTCTTCGAGAAGCTCGGGGATGTAGCTCATCTGCCAGGATAGCACGTAGCGCATCGTGTTTGCGGACCACTCCTTGCGCTCTTCCCCGTAGAAGGCCGCCTGGAACTGGCCCCACCTCAGCGCCGGCTTCTCGACGCCGCCGCAGTTCCTCCCAGGGTCCCCCGAGACGTCTGGCCGGAGCTCCCTGAGGCGGTCGCCCGAGAGCAGGGCGAAGAGCGGCCAACTCGACCCCAGCAGGATCCTGAGGGGGAAGCTCCGGAGCCCGCGCGCCACGTCGGCCGCGTAGCGCGCGGCGGAGCTGGGGTCCCCCTGGAGCACGGAGGCGGAGTAGAGGTACATCGCCGCGTTGAGGGCGCCGAGGGGGCACTCCGCCCAGTGCCGCTCCATCGCCCAGTCGTCGCTGTCCATGTAGGCACCGAAATACGCCGCACCATCGCCGTCGCCCCACGCCGCTGGCGGGCGCTCCTCGAACACGCGCCGCCAGGAGTCCCAGTCGATCTGGCCCTCCCAGGCCTCCGAGGCGGCCCGCCTGCAGTCGAAGTCCGGGAAAAGCCCCGGCGGGTACGCCTCGCAGCCTGGCGGGTCGTCGCACTGCATCAGCGCCGCCGCACGCCGCCGCGAGAGCCCGGCCGCCGCCAGCGCCAGCGCGCGCCCGCCTCGGCCTCGAGCTCGGCCTCGGCCGGCCGCCGCGGCGGGGCGCCGCGGCGGCCGCGGCGGCAACGAGGCGCCCGGCCGCGGCGGCGGCGCCGTGCCGTGCCCGGCGGAGGGCGAGCGCGGCGGCGACCGCGACGGCGGGGCGCGGCGGGGGCGGCGTGGCGGCGGGAGGCTGCCCGGTGTCATCGGCAGGGAGCGCGCGCCGGGGCCCGGCGGCGCCCTCCAGCGGGCGCCGCGCGCGCGCGGGCCATGGGCGCCCCGCGGAGGCGCAGCCGCCGGCCCCCGCCGCCTCCTCTCTCCCTCCTCCTCGTCCTCCTCCTCCTCCTCCTCCTCCTACTCCTCCTACTCCTCCTCCTCTCCGCCTCCTCCTCTCCCCCTCCTCGCAACGGGGCGCGAGGCGCAGCTTGGGCTTCGTGGCCCCCTGGAGCCCAGGCGCGGGCCTCACATCTACGGAGAAGGCCCGCGGCCTTCTGAGCCTCCCTCTGAGAGGCCTTCCCCCTGCCCCCCTCTCTGCGCGTGGCCGAGTCTGGCGGTGTGCCATGCTAGATCGGGGGGCTCACGATGATCTTCAGAACGTGTGCGATCGGCGATCGGCGCCTGATGGCCCTCGACTCCTGAAGCGCTCCATCGATCACCACGCCAACATCGTCTGATGGTATGCTGCCGGAGAGGTCACGACGATCCTCGGGCACTCGTGCACAGAAGCCCCTCCGCACGATGGCGAGCGGCGTACTGAGGCCCGGCGCAGGCCGCGTGCGGTCGGCTGGAACTGAGCGGGGTAAGCACACTTTGGGCTAATGAGCGCACGTCCTGACAAGGAGCATCGAGCGTTGTCATGGTTGTGGTGGTGGTGGTCGGTCGGTCGGTCGGATCGGGGCGTCTGGGCGAGTCGTGATCGAAGGTGGCGATCGTGCCCCTCGGAGGCTTCCAGGTGTCGTCGCAGTGCCATCGTGGTCGGCCGCGTCGGATCGAGGCTGATGGGCGCTCCTGGCCCTCGCTGAGCCTCCAGAGGGCGCTCCTGGCCCGCTCTGGAGTCTCCAGAGGCACCCAGAGGTCGTCGTCGGCGGCGGCGTCGCCGTCGGTGCTCCGCAGAGGCAGTTGAACGAGACGGAGGAGGAGGAGGAGGAGGAGGAGGAGGAGGAGGAGGAGGAGGAGGAGGAGGAGGAGGAGGAGGAGGGGAGGAGGGGAGGAGGAGGAGGAGGAGAAGGAGGATGAGGAGGAAGGAGGGGGGGAGGACGACGAGGAGGAGGAGGAGGACGAGGAGGAGGAGGAGAGGAGGAGGAGGACGAGGAGGAGGAGGAGGAGGAGACGAGGAGGAGGAGGAGGAGGAGGAGGAGGAGGAGAGGAGGGGGGTGGGGGCGGAACGGCGAGGAGGAGGAAGGAGGCGGAGGAGGAGGAGGAGGAGGACCAGGAGGAGGAGGAGGAGAGGAGGGGGGAGGAGGAGGAGAGGAGGAGGAGGAGGAAGGAGGAGAGACGGGGGAGGAGGAGGAGGAGGAGGAGCAGGAGGAGGAGGAGCAGGAGGAGGAGTAGGAGGAGGAGGAGGAGGAGGAAGAGGAGGAGGAGGAGGCGAGGAGGAGGAGGAGGACAAGGAGGAGGAGGAGGAGGAGGAGGAGGAGGAGGAGGAGGAGGAGGGGGTGCAGCATGGCGACAGCAGGGAGGGGTGGTCTGGACAAGAGCCACGGCGACAGCAGCGGCCTGAACCTTCCTCTGCGCCCAGGACGATCCGAGACGCGTTGCGGTGCGATGTGTTCCATCTGCGGCCCCACTGTGGGGACCTCCCGAACGAAGCGAACCCCACCTCCCCCCTCACAAATCGCGGAGTGGTGGGGTAAGTTTCGCATGTGGCCTCCTACCCACGGGTCTCGAACCCTCCCCTGGGGGGGGGGTAATTCGTCGTCCAGGCAATATGATGATGGTCCTGGGCCCCGGAAACCTGTCGCCTGGGGCCGAAATCGATGGAACTCGCTGGATGCTTGGCTCGTTTGCACGGAGTGCAGCCCCAGAGACAGCTCGCACGCATCCGCCGGCACCAACATCAGAAGGCAGCTCGCCGCGTGGGCCCCGTCGCCAGCCCAAACGGCGAGCTCACATCGGGCGTGGCCCCGCACGCGTTTGGATGCCCACGCTTCGTCCTCGTACTGCTCGCGGGCCCCCAGCACGGTGACTGCGTTGACGGCGTCCTGGTCGTACCAGGGGCACACATAGGTTGGGCCCTCGGCCGCCGAAAGAAGAAGACCGTCTCCTATCGGTTGCGCCATGCAGTCAAAAACCCTTGTAAGGACGCGCGGTAAGGACGCAAGACCCTTGGAAGCCGAAGTTGGGATCTTTGGGGCGGCGGACGACGAAAACCCCAGGACGAAAGCGAGGAAGGACGGAGACGCAAGAGCAAGGAAGAGCAAGGACGCAAGGGCACCCTGAGCAAAGTCGCGCGTCCTTATTAGGGTTGCGCCATATGCTGCGCCCTCGGCCGCCGAGAAGAAAAACCGTCTCCTGTTGGTCGCGCCATAGGTTGCACCCTCTGCCGCCAAGAGTAAAAGCCGTCGCGTAACGACTGCGACCAGTCAGTTCAGTTCAGTTCTGTTCACTTTACTTCACTCCACTTCAGTCCAGTCCAGTCCAACTTACCTCGCGAAAAAACAGATTCGGGCGACGCCCGAGTTCAAATCGCGCTGCAGCCAAAACCGAGCAAAAACAACCCCCCCTCAAGAAAGAGAGAGATAGAGAGGGAGGAGGATGAGGAGAGGCAGGAAGAGGAGGAGGAGGAAGAGAAGATGGAGGAGAGGAAGGGAAGCAAAAAAAACGCCGGAATCGAATAGCACAATCCACGGAATGCCTGAGCCGGCGGCCCCCCCAAGGGCCGCCGACGACGACGACGACGCCCGAGCCCCACGCCGAGTCCAGCATCAGCCCTGGGCTCCTACGACTTCGCCTGCGACGGGCTCGTGCCGTGACTGCGCCGGCCTGAAATGTCTGACACCGCGCGGAGCGCTCCGCCTCGAACGGCCGCGGCTCTCCGACACACACACACACACACACACACACACACACACACACACCGTGGGTCGTGCGATGCTGGCCGACTCAGGGCAGCGGCGGCGCTCAGCCTCGAACGCTCGCAAGGCCCCTGGGGGTCAGCATGGCAACGCACGGCTGCCCCGAAGTCAAGGCCGAAGGCTTCCTCTTGAGGTGTCGTCGCCGCTGGCAACCAGGCAGAAACAGCAGCGCCCGCTTCTGGCGATGACCGAATTTCCGATGCGTGTTTCTTAAAAGTGGCTTGACTATAAGAGTATGAAGTAGCTCAATCAATGCGTAGAAAACGGATCCACTGATCCCCCCCTACTTGTTGGCTGGCCCTTGAGATCGCCAAGCTGTCCGCATGGCTTCTTCAGGCGTGTCCGCATGGCTTCGTCCAATCTATCCGCATGGCTTTCTCTGCTATCGGTATCGATGCGTCTGCTAGGGTACAATCGGATAGATAAGAATGCATCCGAGCAGAATAGGGTAGGAGTAGTAAGAGTAGGAGTAGGAGTCGGAGTAGAGTATAGCCGTCGTAAAGTAGGTTGGGGATCGTCCCCTCCGCATGGTTTCCTCTGCTATCTGCATGACTTCGTCCATACTACCCGCATGGCTTCCTCTGCTATCCGAATGGCTCCGTCTGCTAGGGAAGAGCAGAGGACAGTGTAGTAGAGTAAAGTATTATACACTAGAATAGAAAGGCACACAGTAGAGGCTATACGCATGACTTCCCCTGGTAGGACAGAATCGAGAAACATCTATATAACAGAGAAGAGCGGGAGTAGAGTAGAGTAGAATAGAACAGACCAGGTGTACAGTAGTGCTGAGTAGGAGTAAGAGTAGAGTAGAGTAGAGAAGGATCGGGTAGAGTAGCGTAGAATAGAACAGAGTAGGGTAGATGGTAGAGCAAAGTCGGGTAGAATAGGGTAGAGTGGAGTAGGGTAGCGTAGAGCATACTCAATTACAGTAGGGTAGAATCGCGCAGACTAGCGCAGAGTAGAGCAGCGTAAAGTAGGGTAGCGTAGAGCAGCGTAGGTCAGAAGAGTAGAGTCGATGTTTCTTTTTGGCACCAACGCTGACAGGTATTTGTTTTAGTTTTAGAGGGGGCCCCAGAACTCCCGACCTTTCCCATGAGCTCGTTCGTCATCCACAGGATCTAAAGGGCGTCCCAGGGGAAAGCGCCCAAGAGGAGAGGGGCCGCAAGACACGGCCCGAGGAACGTGCGCGGAAGAGGCTGGGTGGACCAGGGGACGTGTTGAAAGAAGAAGAGGGGGCCGTGAGATGTGGGAAGATATCGTGGCCCCGCCATGGCATCCCCCCCTGGTCACCGCCCCCCTCTTTTTTTGGCACGCCCAAGATTTGTACGGGAAAATTGGGCACGACGCCCAACATACGAGAACGGCGCTTATGCACCGCATCATGTTTGAATTCCCGCCAGACCTCGCTCCAACGCGGTACGGTGCATGTTTATTTGGTCCTAAGGGCCGATCCACTATGCATCGTACCATGGCTGGGTCGAAGATCGACAACGCCTCGTGAGACGCCAACGCGGTACGGTGCATACATATCGTCCGCGGACAACAGCAGGTGTTGCCCCAAACCGACAGCGGCATCGAACGGACACCCATCGTGGCGACGCCGACAGCGAATCCTGCTCGTCGCCGCGCCGCTTGTCCTCGACCCGCCCAGGTGGACGACGCCGACGCCACGGCATACCCACGGCAAGCCTTGCGCCCCGGGGCCAAAGCAGAGATGACGCCGGCACCGCGGCACACCCCACGGCAGACCCTGCGCCCGCGGCGGCGTCTGCCCTGCTGCCCGCGGCGCCCTCGCCGAGGCGTGAGGGCGTTCGTCGGAACAAACGGCGCGGCTACATCTTCGGTATGTCTTTGTCCCTGAGGAGGAGGAGGAGGAGGCGGAGGAGGAGGAGGAGGAGGAGGAGAAGGAGGAAGAGGAGGAGTAGGAGGAGGAGGAGGAGGAGGAGGAGGCGGAGGAGGAGGAGGAGAAGGAGGAAGAG